TGGATCCTCTCCCCCTGTGGATCCTCTCCCCCTGTGGATCCTCTCCCCCTTTCTTTCCCGAGTTCAAATCCCCATCGGAGCGGCGCTTCTCCGTGGGGGGAGACCCCCCCCCAGGCGGGTGACTGGGCTCCCCGGGGCTGTGGTGGGGTGGGGAGCGGGGGGGCACCTCGGCAGCGAGTGTCTGAGCACCCTTTTGCTAATAAGAAGGCTTTATCGCCGAGGAGGGTTTGTGCCCTCCCTTCCCGCAGTCCCCACGCATCTCTAAGGAAAGGTGATTTCTGCTGGCAGGTTGGTTATCAGCAGGCATGAACTCACTCGATTTGTGTCTGTTTTTCTCAGCTGACCAAATTATCTTCGTGTGTCTGTTGTTTAGAGTCCCAAAAGTGTCATTTCCTGACCCTCTATCGTACCATGTAGATAAGCGCCCGGAGGATATGTGTAAAACAGCCTTGTTTCTTGGCCGTTGTATGTACAGTCGATACTTGAGCTATGCTGCGTTCATCAGATCGTTATTTACAAGTTGCACCTCAAATCAGGTTCCTTAATAGGTGACTTGCAGTGGCTGGCAGCATAATATCTTATTATTATGGGCTAAGTGTTTTGTAAAGGGGCAAAAAAGAAAACAAATACAAAAACTTCATTTTTGTAATGTCAGGGGAGCTACATGGATCCTTCCATCTGGTCTAAGTGTTCAGCACAAATGAAACCCCCAAAACCAAGAAAATGTGCAGCTTTTAGACCCCAAGGTGCTGATCGTTGTCATGGTCAGAAAGCAGTGCTGGCCTGGGGCTTCAGGTGCAAGGGCTATTGAAGAGCAGCCATGACAGGGTTCAAAAGTTGCCAAGTTGTCCTTTGCGCTTCCCAGGGACAGGGCACAGGGTTGAGATCACTGGAAGCTTAGCGAGTTAAAATTATACCCACTGGCTGAAAATGTACAGTTGTTTCCAGCTCCCGTTTCAGGCAGGACTCTGTCAAGAAGCTTCTGCTTGGGAGTTTCTTCAGGGCAAGGCCCTTGGTGATCTAAATGCATCTTGATCTAAACCAAGCTGCTGGAAAGCAGCTTCTCAGAAGAGAGGCTAGAAGGGAGCACAATCCTAGTTTTTAAGCTATAAACAGGCCTCAGAGAGCAGAGTTGCAGTGGGCTGCTCGCACGCAGATGCACGAAGGGATCGGACTTTGTCGGGTGCTTGCATAAACTTCTTCCCAGGGTGCTAACGTGCATCTGGAGGAAGCAAACCCTCTTTTAATCTGTGCCCACACACACACATGCTTGCTCCCCAGCATTGCCTGATGGTGCTGCCCTGCATGTGCTGCTCTCGGGACCCTTGCTGGCTTCCACTGTGAAGTTTTGGGGAGGGTAGCGGTGGCGTGCAGGTCTGGGCTAGGCGAAGCCCCAGTGCCCCAGGCAGGGCTCAGCAGCTAAAGGGGTCTTGTGTTTTGACTTCTCCATGTGCCAGAGGAAGCAAAACTGGGAAGTGTCTTGAACTGCTTTGCATGAAAACTACAGCCTCTCTCTCTCTTTTTCTTTTTTCTTTTTTTTTTTTTTTTCTTTTCCCACAACTACACTTCATTATCCAGCTTCTTGATGCCTTGGCTGCAAGTTGGAGAGAGCTATCAATAGTACATTGTTGACTGGGGGGTGAGGGAGGAGGGAAGGGAAAAACAAAGCTGCCAACAGCTTTCTGGGGGTGGGGAACGGCACAGCAAAGTGCTTTGTCATGCCTCTCGACGTCCACTACTACTGAATACACACTGGTCCATTGATAGCCCCAGTCATGCCGTGAGGAGGGACTGTATTAACACAAAACACCACTGAGCATGTGTGCAAAGGGGTTTGCCCTGAGACTTCTTCACTGCAACTGCTTAATATCTTTTCCTAGTGTATTTAAACAGCCTTTTCTCCAGGAAGTGTCTGCTGTAGGCCATGGCACACGGGAATGCTGCTGAAGAGCCCAATCTAGCAAACCTGGAGAAGGAGGAGGACATATGTGGTGGAAGAATATATGTGTTTCCTGTAGAAAGATTATTTTGGTATGAGGTGGCAAGCCAAGATCTTAGCAAATTCTGCCTGTGTCATAACTGTGTTTGCGATCTATTTTTTGGCATTCAGAAATGCCAAATTTCAGTAGTTCGTCTGCAGTCTGGTATCCGTTCTAGCATACTGTATAAGCGGTTCAGGTGATTCTGATAGTGCAGCTCAGTACTTGGTCTTTGGATGCTTAAGCCTGTCTCCCTCGTGGAGAGGGATTAGAGTGGAAAAACAGTCTCGGGAACAGCTCAAGTGATAAGTTTTAGGGCAGACAGTAAGTTGTCAATACATCTGCAGAGTCTGTCCATTATAGGCTTGTTCCTCGCTCCATGTGCTTATTGAAAACCCTCACACCCCCCTTTATTTTGGTGGTGTTTACATAGCTTTGCATTTGTGGGTTTCATAATGGGAACACTGGGGAATGACAGGTTTCTCTGCGTTGCTTTTGCAGGCTTTGTTAGAGGAATACTGCTTCTGTGCTGTGCCTCAGCAAAGAGCTTTTGTGGTACTGATAAAGGAGGCAATGCTCCAGAAGTAAAATAATTTGCTTTCATGAACTTCCTAGAAGCTGGAGCAGATATTAAAGCCTGCGTTCAAAGTGATCCTGAAAGACTGTGTGTAGGACATCCAAACAAACTCAGAAACTGCAAGGGAAACTTATTTTCTTGCTCTTAAAAGTAGATCTGTGGGGTGGACTTGTAATTTTTAGGGCTGGGGTGAAGGATGCTTGTATGATATTTCATTTGCATATGAAAATGTCAGCTTGGACGTTGTAGAGCGTGTTGAAAATATCTGAAGAACCAGCCCTTTCACTCCTCTTTTTGAAAATGTGAAACTTAAACCTCCTCCTTCTGGGTCCTGTTGATCTATTTGTAGATATTTGTCTATAGAAAATGTGTGCTCATCTGGTCATGCGTTTCCAGCCATCTGCTATTGGCAGTCTTCCAGGCATCCCTTATTAGCATGAGGTTGCTCAGCACTCTCTGGGTTCTTGGCTGCAAAGCCCCTCCTCCATTTCTAACAAAACACTGCTGGTTTCTGATACAACTTGGGCAGCGAGCATTTTTAATGTAGATGTCCAGGTGCTAAAGCCCTGATCTGCTGTCTCTCAGGTGCTGTGGAGGAGCAGGGATACGAGTGGTTTGGGGTTATGAGGAGCTGTAGCATCCTAAATATGATCCCTGCTAATGTAACCTGGTGTTCTCTCTCTTTTTCTTGCAGTAGTATTTTACCTTTGAGTAACTGTCCCCAGCTGCAGTGCTGCAGGCACATTGTTCCAGGGCCTCTGTGGTGCTCCTGATGCCCCTCACCCACTGTCGAAGATCCCCGGTGGGCGAGGGGGTAGCAGGGATCCTTCTCTTTCAGCTCTGATATATAAGGTGAGAAAGATCTGACGTCTATATAATGACCTGTACCCATGTTGCAACTGTGTTTGGTCCCTTTCGCAGTCTGATGGGGATAAACACAAATAACTCCCAAGGTAGTAAGTGGAAGAACAGTTAATTTTTCAGCAACCCTGTTGGCAGGTTGCTAAGCTGCATGCAGTGTTCTCCCTCTCCCGCTTAAATATCACCTGTTTATTAAGAAACAAGAGACCTTTTCTCAAAGGTGTGCAGCAAATAATTCACTAGCCCCATTCCCAGAAGCCTGTTCCAGTTATTGTATGCAGAGCCAGCATTATCAAAACATGAAACAACTTCTTAAATGTCTCTCAAAAAGAGGAAGTGGGAAGCAGAAAGGTGAAATGCAGAGAGAGAATGGTTGATAAGCTCCTTCCTGTGCGCTAGTCCGGAAGGTAAAGCTGTCGGAGCCTGGGAGCTGCCTGAACTGATGTACAGAGTAACTCCTGACTTCACAAAAGGGAGAGGCAACTGTCCACCTCACAGACTGGAACGTTTCTAGAACATGTGCATAGGATGAGGCAAGATCAGGAAGGCTTTGTATCTGCAGACTTGCTTAGAAGCATGTGGATCTGTGTAGCTCTCATTTTTTGGCCCTTTTCTTTCTACAGGACCTTTCCTTTCGAATGAGGAGACCTGGCTGTTCCTTGCTGTAGAATAATTGGCTCTTGTGCAACTTTGTGTTGTGTTATGGTGCCACACATCTGTCTGCCTTCTGGGACAGGGGCTGCTTTTCCACATGCCAGGGAGTAAAGTCCTATCAGATGAGGTAGCCTAAATTTATGCTCAGCTTGCAAATTTGGCTGTTCAGGCAGGAGTGTTGTCATAGGTGTTAGACTTGATTTTTAATTACCCTGTGGGAGGCACACAGACTTTATATGATGAAAAGATACAGGCCTTTTTGGGTCACAGTTACCAAAGTCTCCTCTTGAAATTCATGAGAGAATCGCAGACCTCGCAGCTGCTTTCAGAGGAGTTTTCTTTAATGCAGCCTTGGTGAATTTTTAGCACACACCTCACCCGCTTACCTTGTGAATAAATGTCAAGCTCTGTAGCCTCTTAATAATAATATAACATCAGCTTAATGCTGTCTAGTTGAATTGTCACAGATGTTAGAAGGGTATGAAATCCGGAGAAGCAGCAGAGCACAAGGGGCTTCCTGTTAGATAAAGAAGATACATAAATAGCTTCAAGGGGGCTCAGGACAACTAATGAATTCCCTCTGGGTGGGAGGGGATGAGAAATAGGGGATCCTGCAACTTAAACTCCTGCAGGCCAGCTTTGCCAAGCCTTGCGTACACACCAGGCAAGGTCCAAAGGCAGAAAATGGGCTCAATGTGGAGGAGATGCTGGTGGAAAGAATCAGTTTGGAGACTTTGAAGTGTTTGATTTCCGTATGGCCTTGAATTCGCACAGAAGCTTTTGGCAGTGGTGTGTAGGCAGGGGCTGCTGCCTGGGGGGATGTCATCTGGATAGCTGCATCCCAGAAGTATGGATGTAATTCTTTCTGGGTTTATTGCTGACAAAACCTAGCAGAATCTGTCAGAAAATCAGCCCTTTCTGTAACATAGCTCATCCCAGACCAGAGCAGGCTGTGTTGCCCAGTGGTTTAAAGTCAAACCTTAGACGGGGGTTACTGGGACTCTCTCTGCCGCTCTCAGTTGCCCACCCAATCTAGCAGTGCTGTAGTTACAGCAGGTTGAGTTTTTTCAGCCAGCAAGCTTCCGTGTGACCTGGAAAGGCATCTGGGCCCAAAAGCTTAAGTCCTTTTTCCAGCTGTATCAGCTATTCTAGTCCAAGGGATGACCTTTCTGAACAAGCCTGCCTCCTTCGGAGCATGCAGCACAGTGCTCACATACAACAGCGCTATAAATTAAGCTGCTGGGGCTTCCTATAGTTGTTGGTATTTTTGTGTTAAGAGACTTAATATTTGGCCCTTCATCAACGGAGCTTTACTTGAGCTGGGAACACAATAATGATCAGCATCGGTGCTGCACAGCCAGGACGGCCTTTGTGCGAACAGACGTGCTCTGGCTAGCAAACTTGGCAGGAGGCTGCAGGTGTAGCACATGCCAACAGTAGGCTGCTTACACAAGTTTCTCCAGTCAGTTGGCTATGGTAGATCATAACATCCTTTCTTCTTATGCTGCCAACACGTAGGGGCCTCCCCCCGTCCTTCTCGGGACATCTGAGGAGCATAGCTGGGTTGGAAAATCTTGTGCCCGTTGAATTGTAACCAAGGGGAAGCTGGTCCTTGTGGCTTTACTTCACTGAAATGGAGCTGAGGGCTGGAGAGCTGGTGGTTTAGGCAGCTGTGTATAAAAGATAGTCTGGTGGGGTTTTTTTGCCCATGATAGTGTGGTGGTGGGGATTTTGCAGGGTGAACTAAAACCGAACATTTGTAGCATAAACAGGATTTTGCTTTGAGCAGCTTCCAAAGAATTCTGGGCTGCAGCTTCACAGGAACAGCTTCTCTCCCCGGCATCTCGCTGTCTCTATTTTGATGCCTAGAAATAAAATATCAGCTGCCCAGGACAGGCTGTGTAAACGTAATTCCCACTGAACCAGGGGAACTGGTTCTGTTAATCCCTGCGGTTGTGCTGCCTTTGGTTCACAGGCTGTTGCATTAGGGGGTCTTAAGTGGAAAAAACCTCGCTAGGTTTGGAGTGCCGGGCATAACTTCTGGTGACAGAAGGGCTAAGCCTGAAGGCTCGGAAAGCTTCTCCCTTCCTATTGCAGGCTCCTGCCAGTCTTCCCGCACAAATGCATGCGTGTGCCTCCCCCTCCGATGTGTCAATCCCAGCCTGCTTTTCTCAACTTCCTCGCCCTGTTTTTGTTTTCATGAAGTATAAGAAAAGAAGCATCTGTGAGCTTTTCTTGAGAGAAGGATCTTTTCCGAAACAGAGATGCTTTCTGCATGGTAACAACTGTAAAAGGCTCCTATAAAGCCACTGGTGAAGGATGTGCATAAATTCCTCTTGGTTTTGTTTTTTTTAAATACACCTCTGTAGAGTGGAGCTCTCTCTGGGCTCAGATCTGACTCTTGCCGCTGGGTCTGCGGTGGCTTTATCAGCAGCAGTCTGATTTAACTTGAGCAGCTGTCAGTAGGTTTCTTGGTGCACTTGGCTTAAAACTAGTAAAACCTGACAGCAGGCGCAGCCACAAAAACTTCTTTCAAACTCGATGAATAAACTTATTTCCTACAGGATATTTATTCTGATGAAGTGTAAACTTGTTTTTCAGCTAAGCTTTGTGGGCTTTAAACAAACGGCAGCTTCCTCTGCTCTGGTTACCGAAGCCAGGCAGTTCTTCATTTGCATGCGGCATTACTTTGTCGCCCGCATTAACATACTCAATGGCTGCTTCTTTGTCAATAGTCAAACCAAGAGGGGATCTATTTTAATACATGTGGTAATAGGAATTAAAGCACTGGGACACAAGCTTGAGGAGCCTGGAAAAGTTATCAGTGATGTTTTTGCTGAACCGCTCACTGGTTTTTCAGCAATGCTTACACCTTCATAGCTTAAAACGCCAACAAGAAAACATCTGCTTGACAAGCAGTGATACTGAGGAGTCTTCCACCCTCTTACTGGGCACTGTTGGCTGCTGCTGTGTTTGTACTGCCCATCTTTTAAGTGCTTCTTCACTGCAGATCCAAACTGGACTGAGTTTTCTTTTCTGTACTGGCTCCCTATGTGTGTTATGGTCAGAGATGAGTATATGTCACTACAAAGCATTTATTAAGCCTTGTCTGGTGAGATGCTGTCTTTCTGCAGCAATGTCACTTGTTTCATTGTCAGTCCAGCTGATCATCAGCAGAGCAGAGCTCGTAATCTGCTGCTGAATTAATCACCCTGTTAAAATAAAGTGCCTGGATACTGGATGGTCGCTCACCTAATGACCTGATGGAGTAAACAACCTCCCACCCCACCTGTTGATGCTGTTGAGAGAGGGATGCATGGCTTCCCCAGACACTCCTGTGACTCGGGAACTGAGCAGACATGACTTCTAATATCTGGTTTACTTCTGCCCTTCAAAGCTGTGCAGGTGGCTTTGTAGACGTGAGGGAATCAGGATGCATGAGCCTGTAACCAAGCAGATGGGAACAGTTCAGCTTCCACTGCAGTTGACAACGTTAACTCGGGAACCTAATGAATTTCTTCATCGTTTCTTTGGGGCTCTTTGCAGTGAAATGTGGAAATCATTACTGGGCAAGCCAGCTGCCTGCAGAAATTGTCAGGAGAAGGAATGGAGTTTTAACCACGAAATTGTTTTCTAGGAACTGTTGAGCTGAATCTGAGGTGGTCTGCATGCTTGATGTTCTAGTTAGAGCACTATTGGAGAGGGATGTCTACATTTGTGGTCTCTCACAGTCCTCAAATCTGTGTATCTTCTGTCTGTTTTGGGATTCTCTCTGTGCTATGCACTCTCTTCCCTTATACCAGGAGGCAAACAATTTGCCATACCAGTTAGTTGTAAAATCTGGGAAAGCAATTTGTGGTCATCCCTTAAACAAAAAGACTATGTTGGGGATTGGGGAGACAATGAAATTGGTCAGACTGCGGCAGCAGATGCTCTTCCAGCTTGTCGGTTCAAGTTGTGTTCTTTGAAGGGTAGTTCATGAACCGCCCTTCAAAGATGTGGCTGGGACCTGCGGTGAATGAATGGACTCTCACTACCCAGAAATTTCATATAATGTAAATATGCAAAACTACATTCCTTTGAACAGGAAAACAAGACTAGAAAATCACTCTGAGGTCATTGTGGTGTGTCCCTGAACCAGTGAAAGGGGAAGGGAAAAGTATAATGTTCTTAGTAAAACTGTAATACCATTTATTTCACATTTGCTCTCTCTAGTTATACTCCCCTGCCTGTTTAGTATGTAGGACTTTACTTTTTTGTTCTTTGTTTTTGTATTAGGTTAAAATAAAAGCACGGTGTTACAGGTAGTTCAGAACAATAGCTCTTAACCACTTAGACACTTGCTTAGAGCACTGAGACTCAGACATGAGCTTGCAGCTGACTGTGCATACCTTCACGAGCTATGGTGAGTCTCACAGTGGTGAGTTTTAGTGATAGGCTGAAACTCTGGACACACACCAGTCTGTAAGGGCTGGTCCTTTGTCAGGAGGGTGCTGTCATTGAAAACACAGTCCTTCTGCATGCTTGTTTAAGCATGATCTCTTACATTTTTGGTCTACAATCTCATGGATAGTTTTCTAATCCTAAAGTGTATTTCATGAGCTCTCCTCTCTGCCCTGCACAGGACGAGAAGATCACTGTTAACCAAGATGTCCCAGTGCACGAAGGGAAGCCTCATATTGTCCACTTCCAGTACAAGGTCACAGAGGTGAAGACCTCCTCCTGGGATGCAGTGCTCTCTAATCAGAGCCTCTTTGTGGAAATCCCTGACGGATTATTAGCTGATGGAAGCAAAGAAGGGTAAGTTCAGGATCCCAGAGCTGCATCCGTGACTCCACAGGGAGCAGGATTTTGCTTACATGGGTGATGCTATGCGTGTGGGGAGAAAGGGGTGTACGTATGGCAGCTCTGTTCCTGGTTTGTGTATCTGAAGTATGTCCTTACTCACTTGTCTTAAGAGAACTGTCCTCCTGTTAGTCCTCCATAGATATATTTTTTTTCCCCTGGTGATCATTTCGGATGGGTTACTGGTTTTTTGAGTCCCTGTGTTAATGAAAAATAAGCAGTAAATAAGCAGAGTGATTCTTTGCATGCTTTGGTATGGAAAATCTACAGGCCTTTCTCTGATTTTTTTTTCTTTTTTTTTTTTTTTTTTTTCCTGCTGGCCACTTGGCAAGCTATTTTGGCAAGCGTTTTCCTCTCTTTCAGGGGAGAAAAAACTCCATTATATTGATGCGCTCCTTCTCATCAGTAGGTGGATCTGCTCTTGGAGTGCTGCCACGCAGGCGTTGGGCTCTGCCAGAATCTCTGATTTTTCTCTGTTGGCAGAATACGGTAGTGTTTTGTCCAGACAGCTCTGCTCTGGGAAGTTTGTGTAAACGCAGCTTCCAGAGCAGTTACTTCCTGCCAAGTGCTTTGCCAGAGATCTCCGCTGGCGGGGAGCACTATAGCGTAGATGTGGCTTTACTGGCTTCCTCTGCAGAGCTCTCTGAAGTCCTCCTAAATCTCCAAGTAGGCTTCATCCGTAAATGACACAAGCTAATTAAGAAAAAAAACTCATTGGGCACCTTCAGTAAGTGCCAGTGTTCTTGCTGTCTCACACTTGTCTCATTTGACTCCGAGTCCAGATAAACGTTAGTGTAATTTCTCCAGTTGGCCTGTAAATCTTTTAGCTGTCCAAGTGCCTGCTCTCTTGGGAGCGGCTTCTTCTGGGAGGGTATTTATACGCCTGTGTCACCGTGACTTAAAGTGCAATTTTGCCAGATTATTTTTAGCTAGGTAAAACAGCCTAGTAGAGGCTATAATTAAAATAGTTCATTACCATATTAACAAAACCCTTGCAAATTTAATCTCCCTCGCTGCACTCCAGTCTCGCTGACTGCTGTTTAATTAGATGTCGATTGAAACCCTGTTTGTCACTACTCTAGCAGCCTGCATCGTAAATGGTTCAAGGCCAGCAGTGACAACGATGGCTCTGTCATGCTGATCCCCAGGGCTCAGAGAGGGGTTAATGCAGTGCTGCTTCCATCAAGAAGTGCTTCCATCAAGAGGTGGCAGAAATAATTTAGCTGGAAAGGCAGGAAGCGTGGATTCAGGGTGCATCAGCTGTGCCATCCAGCTGATGTGTTCAGGAAACAGCTTTGGCTGTGCACATGCTCCTTCAGTGATGTTTTTCTCTTCTCTTCTGCCTGGTATGAGCTCCATTTTTTTTTTTTTTTTCTCCTCCTTTCCATAAAGCGCAAAACTTACGGATCCCCTTGTGTGTGTTGCCAGTGGAGGGAATGTAGCCTGACTGGGGATCAGCTGCAATATTCAGCTTCCTGCGTACAAAGGCTCCTGTACAAAATCACTGGCTGGTGGCGATGGGTGTTTAGGCACACTGGCACGCGGATGCTGAGGATAGTGACTTGTTGGGCGATTTGGTGTGAGGATAGCTCTTAGTTCTGCAGGGCTGGATAGCAATGCAGGAAGCCCATTGTTTCAGCACCCATTGTTCGCTGGAAGGGGTCTGTAAACAAGTAATCTTTCTGCCTGAAAACATCCAAGCAGTTGATAATGCTCCGAGGCTTCCTCAGGACAGGACTTCCTATAGCTGATGTTCTTTTGTCTTCCTCCTCCTTGGCAGGTTATCAGCACTGTTGGAGTTTGCTGAAGAAAAAATGAAAGTAAACTACGTCTTTATTTGCTTCAGAAAAAGCAGAGAAGATAGAGGTGAGAACTCGCCCCCGCTGTCAGGTTTGCTCCCTAGATCTAAAATGGTGCTGCTGAAGCTGTACAAAAGTCTAGTAATCCCAAGGCAAGGCTTCACGGGATGCTTCCTACTGCAGTAATTGTTATATGCATAATTCTTATGGCGTTCTTACAAATTAGAAATAGTTTCTTGTGGAGGAAATAAGCCCTTTCTTGAGACTAAGGGAGAGGGAGTATTTTGGTTTTTCCAGCAGATTTGTATTGGTATCCTCCCATTAAATTCATGCAGAAAGCTGCTTCTGAATTACTTGGAGTATTTTCTTGTCCAGAAATTGGTTAATATTTCTCCTTTGGTAAGGAGTGAAGGTCTCTATTTGGCATCAGGCTTCTGTGATTTGAAAGGAGAAACCAGGGAGAAGTTACTATATGGGAAATGAACACTTACAGCTTGTTGCCCTGGTGTTCATCTGCTTTTTAAAAATCTACTGGCACTTTTGCCCTTCCTAGACTTGCAGGTAATCCTGACCCTGGCTATAGATGCTTATGGCTTAAGGGGGCTGCATTAGGATCTAAAGATAGATGTGTTGGATGAGTGATTACAGCACGGAAGTTTGAGGAGATTTGTGGTGAGGTACCAAGCTATGGGTCTGTCACTTTAAATCTTACTAGATGCAAGCTAGTAACCAAGCAATTGCCATGGCAGGAGTAATTCAAACCTTAATTCTAATTTTACTCTGCTGCTTCACTTCACAAGCTGCACTGTCTTCTCTGAAATGAAGCATGTTATTATAGCTAAGCTGTGCTGAGCCCAGGAAGATGTCATTCCATGTTGTGATGCCAAGAATAATTTTCAGATTAAGTTCTTGCTGTAATGCCACCACTACCGCCGCAGGTTGCATAGGTGACCTCTGCAGTGGCTGGTTACAGGAGACATCTGCTACTGGTTTTTGTTTTTAAAAATGGGCTGTGTTGCTCTTGGACCTGGCTTATTTGTACAAGTTCTGGAGTGCTCCAGATCCTGGGTCCTTGTCTAAGCAGTTGAAATTCAGTGCTGTCTTCAAAGTATATAGGAGCTCCTCTGCATGACCGTTCAGTGGCTTGAAGTGGATCATCAGAGGGTGCTGTAGAGATTAGATGCTGCACCAGGGTAACTTTCATGGGTCACAGGGAAGTGATCACTTTAGTAACAAGCAAGCATGCATCCAGTCACTGCGTAGTATAACCTTTTCTGACTGCGACAAGGCGGGGGCGGGGGGGCTTCTGGACTTACCCCGCTCTGAATTTCTGTGCATAACCCATGGTGCATTTGCTGGGGGACTGCAGCGAGCTGTGCTGAGCTGTCTTGAGTTTCCACTGAGCTCTGGGTCCTCCTCGTGGAGATGGCAAATGTCTACCTAGACCCCGAGTAAGTCAATTCCTGTTTGCTGCTGTCTGACCCGCTTTCAGGGCTCAAGGGGTGCTGGGACCCATGTCAGTACAGAATAAAAACTTTGACATGCTGCACATCTAAAATACCCTTCACGCATAGGAGCAGCTGTGATGAATGCAGGAAGAGAGAAGACCTCCTATTTGAGAGGGCTGTCACATTAAAATGGTTTCTTTCTGTGCAGGAAGCTCTGGGTGCACTCACAGAGGGTGTTCAGTGCACTTCGATGTTTGTGGCTTCTAGGGTGACGCAGGTAAAGAGGATTATTCCTGGTGGTAACAGATTTCCTTCTCTTTGGTAGCTCCGCTCCTGAAGACATTCAGCTTCTTGGGCTTTGAAATCGTGAGGCCTGGTCACCCCTCTGTCCCGTCGCGGCCAGACGTGATGTTCATGGTGTACCCCCTGGATCAGAACTCTTCCTCTGATGAAGAATAGCTGCAGCGGGGGACTCCAGTGTGACCTGAAAATGCTGTTGAGGGGAGAGAGGGTTACATCTCCTTTCTTGAGGAAAGGGAAAACAAGCTTCTGTTGGACTGAAACTGCATTTCTCATTGTTAGATTGGCCTGTGTATCCTCAGAGTTGACTATCTCATTGAAATGTGTTGCCTAGAGAACTATATATACACACATGTAATCACCAAATAGTAAATGGAAGATGTTTATGAACTGGCATAGGAGCTCTTTACGTGCAGCTGTGTGGTGTGTTAGCCTAGGGGCGCCTGGTGCCCAGGCCATGCATGGGGGAGCACAGCGGTAGATGCAGTATCAACTCCATGACTTCTCTAAACCTGTGTTGGTCCTTTCCTGATCACCCGATGTGCGCTCATCTGACAGACTACCTTTTTATTTTTCACTCAAGACTCTTAAGTAGAAGGCATGTTTTGGGTGTTAGGCACATGGAGGAGACGTGCTCGAGTTTAACCTTTAACACTACATTAAAACCCCTGTGTCTCTCTACCTTGGGGCAACCGATGCTGTTTTAACTGGTCTAACCTTCCCCCCCCCCCTTTCTTTTTAAACTTCTTGCTCTTCCAGCTTTTGTTTTAAGCAGTCTTAACTCTGTTCAATGTTACCACTGCACTATCACAGCGTTCAATAAAAGGGGCATTCAGATGAACTTCACACAGCTGGCGCTGCTTATTTGAAAGGAACAGAGCCTGTGGTGGGCCACCTGCAGTGCTGTGATGGTTTCAGAGGGTCAAGAGAGTGTTTGGAGCAATACCTCTGACCTTTATCCTCTGCCCAAGGATGGGTACAGAGCAGGCCCGTGGCTGTCACCTCTGTTCTTCCTCCTCACCTTTCCAAAGAGATGATCTCAAGACTTGAGACACTGAGCTAATGGCTGTATCCAAACCAAAGGGGGTTGTGTGTGGGGCAGGTGTGGAGGGTGGCTCTGCCAGTCACCCTGTCACGGTGGGATGCTCTTACTGTCTGGGGGCTTTCCCGGGATGGAGCTGTGCTGGTGGTAGCTCACGTTCCAACCCTGCCCCTTCTGATGTTGGAGAATGAGGTTGTGCTCTTGTCTCTGTGCCATGTGGAGGTAACCTGGCTGGCTTTCTTTGAAAGGCCACACGAGAAGGGTGCATTTATAAACTGTGCCCCGGAGGCATGCCGTGAGCTCTCTTCCTAGCCTGGCTGCTTGCGTGTGGAATTGTCCTTGTGTGCTTTGTTGTGCTCTCGCCCTTCTGTGGAGGATTTTGTTAAAAGTTGAAGCCGAGCCATTCCATAAACGTCATGGTCAGTGTTTTCTGTTTGGGGGAGAGAGGTGGGGCTGGGATATGAGTTTGTGTGAATAAATCATCTTAAAGTTTGTGTCTCTCTTTCCCTCCTTCCCCTCCAATGAAATGAAAGGGCTGGTGGCTGTACTCTCCCTTCAGTGGGACATTAAATCTCAAGTCTGGTTTAAAATCAGAGGCTGTGCTATGCTGATGGGAACATCTCTACCCTAGCTTTTATTGCGGTGCCAGCGGCCCCTCTAGTGCTGGCTGCAGCTCTGCAACAGGCATTGCCCCTCCTGTCCTTGCTCCAGGTGTGGTGTGGAGACAGAGGAGACCTTGGACCTGTTCCCTAGTTTGAAAATCCAAGTTTTATCCCTTCTTGTAGCTGGAGCTGCCCCCACTCCTTCCCTGGGCTGGCGGGTGTCTCCCAGGGTGTTTCTGCATGCTCCAGGGCCCTGCTGCCACCCCATGGTGCTCCTCTACTGGCACATCCCTAATGGAATTGGGTGGGAAGAACCACTTTGCTCCTTCCTTAGGGGTAAAGCGTGAGCTTCTGGAGTGAGGATGATCGCCTGAGCTCTGCCGTTAAGAGGCTGTGCCGGTGCATGTGCTTCTCTGACAAGTACCAAATACTTTCCTGCCCTGGCTCAATCAAGTGTGGTCAAATGTAGAGCTCTCGCATCACCAAGTGTCTTCTTCAAAAACACCCTCCTGAAAATCTAAAAGGTGCTTTGATTTCTCTGAGTGCTGTCTCCTGCATAGGTTGCCTCCACTGCGAAGCTGGAGGAACCAAGCTCTGCCCTCTGGCCCACCAGCCCCCCAGCTGCCTCCCCCAAAGGCGGCTCCCTGGGGTGATGGAGAGGGGCTTGCCTGGTGTAGGGCAGGACCCTGGCAGGCTGTGGGGCGGCTTGTCCCTTGCTGGTGCCCAGGGATTCAAGCCGGGGGGGGGGGCGGGTTCTGACCCAAATTGTCATGGCTGAGCTTGGCTGCAGCATCCCCAGGTGGAGCTGTGGGTGCTGGTGGCAGAGCAGAGGGGCCGGATCCAGGTGCGCAGGGCCTGTGAGCAAGCAGAAGTGTGCTGGGGGGCAAGACCTGCTGCCCCACTGGGCCACCCTGCCACAGCCTCGGTGGCCGTGCACCGACGAGTGTGGCATCAGGAGCAGCGTGTCTGCTTAAGCCCTCTCAGATGCCCCAGAGATGTGGACAACCCCCCTCTTCCCCCCCCAAAATCACTGGCCACAGCTTTTGGAGACGAAGGACCAGAATTCAGGGGAGCAGGAAGAAAAAGCCACCCTCACAGGTTTGTGATTGTCTCTTAAAAAGATTTATTCTCTCTCCTTGCCCAAATGTACAAAGGCAAGAAGAGTACAGTTTGTATATATATATATTTATATATATATATATAAAAAAACAAGGAACTTGGTAATAATGTACACTTTACAGAAGGGCAGAATCAGGAAGACTGAAATGAAACCCAACACAGCAACGCCAATGGAAACGAGCTATAAACACCAACGGTTTGATGCCCTGGCCGTGGGGCCCAGTGGGCTGAGGCTGGGGAGGGGGAACCCAGTGGGCAGGGGACCCCACGGGCAGAGGAATGGCACTGCTGCAGGGGGGCTGGGGTGCCAGCCCCACAGGCAAGAACTGACCAGGAAAACCCAGAAAACATCGAACCTATTCTGCATAAACCGTTGTTTCCTTTAACACCTAAAAGGAGACTCAGCTGGGACCCAACTGGGAAGGTGGGGAGCAGCCCCCCCCACCCCAATCCCCTTCAACTGCCAGCAAAGCCCGTGGCCCCCCCCTATCAACCCCCCCCACCCCTTGCCCAGCCCAGACACCCTCCTCCGTGCCCCTGGAGCCGCTGGTGGGTCCCAGCCGTGCCAGGAACCAGGCTCCGCTGGACCGACCGAAGCTGGAGGTAGGAGCAGCCGGCAGGATGCTCCTCCATGGGTGGGATGCAGGGGGGCTCCCCCTATCACCCCGACCCCTCCAGTCCCCAGCCTGGTGACTGCATGTGGCTCTGTAATGGGCGCGGGGTGGGTCAAGCCGCTGCTCGGCATCACCCACCCTGTCCCCCAGGAGCGTGCCAGGCCACGCGGCCCCGTCTCCTTCCAAAGACAACGAAGAGTGGAAGAAAAAAAAAAAAAGGCAAACAACGAGAGCAGGCTGGGGCCACCACGCTGCCGGCACCCGACCCAGGGCAGAGACCAGCGAGCACCTCCTTTCCAGCTGGGTAAAGTGGGGGGTCGGGGCGGGGGGGGCGGGGGGAAGAAAACAAAACCCAAAACAACAGCTTTCAAACAATTGCTTTTTACAGTATGTACAGAGCCCAGCGGGCAGAGCATCCCGGTACAGCGGCCCCTTGGGGCCGGGTGCGACACGGACACACACAGACAACCGAGACCGATGGGCCCCCCCACCCCAGCCCGTGCTCCCCCGGCTGGGCAGCGGGGAGAGGCGAGGAGAGAGCTTGGGGCGGCCCGGCTGCTGCGGGGCCGAGGTAGAGCATCGGCCTGGGGAGAGCCCCTCTGGGGCTGGGGGAGCAGAGGACCAGAAAGCCCCTGTCCTCGGGCACTGGGGAGCAGCTGGGAGCAGGGGCTGGCTTCTTCCAGGGCCTGGTGCCCTGAGCCCTGGCCTGAGGGGGGAACCCGGCAGAGGCCCAAGTGCCTCTGGCAGAGCCTAAGTGTGCTTGTTCCTCCACTGGGCTCTGCCCGCAGCCTGGGGAAGCCGCCTTAAAAGCAGAAGGTGGACATGAGCAGGATCCGCTGCCCTGGGGTTTGGGGAGCACTTGCCGGGGTGGCGGGGGGGCAAAGGCCGGGGCTTTGCAGAGTCACAGCTCAGAAACCAACTCAAAAGCCATGGGCAGGAGTTTCAGGCAGGTCTGGCCCCCGCAAGGCACTGGGGAGGAACCCTGGCAGCTGGCTGGGTGACAGGCACAGCCCCCAGCTCTGCACCCGGCTGCCCCCAGCCCTGGCTACCCTGGGGGGGAGGGAGGGGAGGCAGAGGCTGCTTCGCCAGGGCCAAGAGCAGCCCCCCAGCTCCCCCAGCCCACCGCTCTGGCAATCGGCCACTTGCCAGCAGCTCCTGCCCACACAGGCACAGAGCAGCAGGCGCTGTGAGGTGCGGGATCAGCCATGGGACTGGGAGAGGGTGAGTCCCCACATGCAGCACATCCCCAGGCCCCGCGGCCACCTCCAGCCAGGCTGACATCCACCCCCCCCGCCCCTGACCCCGACCCCGACACCCACCTTGGCTCCGCGTGAGCCAGCCTTTCCTTTCCTGAGACTGCAACTCCACCGCAGGCTTGGCCCCGCGCATCAAGCCCCGGCGAGGAGCAGGCAGCGTCCCCGCCTGCCCCCAGTCCCGTGGCACTCAGCCCCATCGTGAAGCAGCAGCTCACAGAGACACGGTGGGGTCCCAAATCCCTCGAGAAACCTCAGTGCTTCCGTTTCCTCTTCATATGCACCAGGCAGGCGAGTCACCTCCATCCCGAGCGTCGGTGCCCAGTAGAATAAATATTTCCGCAGGTACCAGCTCGCCCACTCACCAAAGGGGAGGGGGGGGGAGTCAGTGTGTGTCCGATGAGGGGGGGAGAAGACAGTCTGCCTCGGATCGCGGCAGGAACGTCAAGCAGAACAATTAACACCATTCAACTGATGTCTAAAGGAGTCTCCAGCGCTTCCCCATGTGAGCCAGTCACATGTCTCATCCAGCCCAGGCGTCCTGGTGCATCACGTCCTGCCACGACCCAAGGTCACATCAGCTCCCACTGCCAGCAGCCCCGCGAGCCCCGGGGGCAACGGGCAAACCCCAAACCCTCTGCCCTCAAGGGCACCCTCCTGTGTACCCATCCCGGCCACCTCCGCCCCAGCCCGGTTGCCCATGGGCGAAGCAGGGTGGCCGTGCCGGTGCCCGCAGGAGGAAAGCCTTACCGTTCTCACCTCCGGG